ATTTTTTTCATGCAATTTAAATAATGCGTTTTTTCATAAAAAAATTAAAACTATTGAATTTTGCAATCCGTTACAAATACTCAAAATGCGATAAAAACTCTGTGTTACTGTGTGTGTGAGGAGGTACTTTTTTAATTCAAAAACAACATCCAATTATAAAAAAAACAATTATTATTACCTTACTAAAACTTGATAGCTTGAACGCTTTCACACCCGTTAAAAACGTCAATTTAGCCATCTTTGTCACGCGATAGCAATTATTTTTTCCTGGAAATTGTTGGAAAATTTGGAAGCACTAAAAGTAGAAAACGGCAAAATGTGGAGATTGAGTAAAAGTAAAAAACAAAAATTTAATCATAATTCTACAAAGTAGTAGAGTTTCATAGAGAAAAGTGCCTAAATTAACGTTTTAAAAAAATCACTAAGAGTGCGTTGGATTTCAATTTGACACTTCTGACAGTTGTTGACATTTCGCGACAATGGCAAGAAAATCAGGCGAAAAATTTGTATTTTTTTGGAATCCACTGAGAAAATAAACTAACGAAATAGTCCCAACAATATTTTTTTGTGGCTAATTGGAAAAATTAATTTAAATTCATTATTTTTGCGTTTTTTTCAAGCAAATTGGAATTGAATTAAAACAGTTTTTTATGTGAGGTTTTTGCAAAATCTTGAATTTGATTGGTTGGATACATTTGTTAATTCCGATTACATAGACCAATAATAATCATTTCCCATTCACGTAATTACCACTAAGATGAGAACAAACCGGTTTTTATTTCTTATTGGGCAAAATCCGGCAAAAACCTAGCAACGAAAAGTAACTCCACTCATTTAAAAAATCGTGAATAATGATTGAATTTTGAATGGAATTTTTATAACAAATCAGCGTTTAGTGTGAGTTATCTTACTTTAATTGGATCTAATTTTGCAGAATGGGTGGGACCAACCCCAGAGCCAATATGAATCATGCACTTTCGATTATTAGACCAATAAAAAGTAAAAATTATTTAATGCGTTATAGTTGAGTGTCATTGTTCGATCCTTAGCCAATCAATTACGTCTTTTAAAATCAACCAATCAGAACCACGTCTTAGATTTTTCAACAAGAAAATTTTTTAAATTTAAATAATTTTAAAAATCTTCTTTGATTTTATTTTCAACCTAAAAAATAATTATTTAAAGGATAAATAAATGTCCAAACTTTCAAAATTTGACATTTTTGAAGATTTACACTGTGAATTAAGTTTATTTATTGTGTACCAAAAATTTTTTTATTTGAAAACTTCTTTGAAAGGCTTTCCGTCTCTACACAAGCGACAAATTCTTTTGGTGGTACATTTTGGAACTGGCTAGAGAAAAGCCATCTACGGTAAATCTACGGTAAATAGTTTGAAAACCGTAATTTTGTAATTTTCTGTAAAAAGACTAAAAATTGCAAAAATTACAAACAAAAGGAATAATGATTTTTAATAAATTATGTAATATATTTTTTGTTTGTTGTGATTCATCATTGTGGCGTCACCATCTATTTATTTTTCTGTTTCTCGTCATCGAAATTAAAAGAAACAAAGCAAAATTAATTATTTGAAAATTGAGAAAAATGCAAATATCAAGAATTAGTTTTTTTCACTTTAGTTTCGCACCTTCTGATCAATATGCTTTTGTTAAATTAAATTTCAAATATTAGTGACAAAATGGATTTACATTTGCATAAGATAAGCTCGTTGTGAGATGCGATAATAATTAATGAAAATATCTATGACAAGTGGCGTAATCAGTGATATTACAACAAAATTTCAACTTTATTGTTGTGTTTGCACAATAATTGTAATGGTCTAGACATGTGTGGCGACTGGTAGTTCCTTTCAATATTCTTGTTTAAACAAAATAACACAGTTCAAGCTCAACACAATTTTTGTGCAATTTCGAATAATTAGTGAAACAGTGAGTCAGTAATAAGCTTAGAATAATCCTGTTGATAATTAATTTTGATGGCGCAAGATTAAGTAGACATTTTTCCACATGAATTTTATGTCCATAATTAAAAACTGTGAAGTAATTTTAGGGTCACAGCAACACTCGCCTGCCGCTACTTGTAATAAAACGTATTTATAGACTGATTTCATCATTGCATAAACGATGTCTGCACCAAAGGGTAAGATTACAAAAAAAAATCATCACTTGACGCAATCAAAAAAAGGCCGAGATTAAATTTGGCACTTGAACAGAGGACTATTTCAGTGTTTCACCATATTGTAATATGAATAAAGTATGATTACAATCCGGACATATTACCCTCCCAGCAGGAGGCGGCAATCACAAGGCGGAGTCCCAGCGACAAATCACTGTCTCGGGATGATAATACAAACTCGACCGTTTTATTTCTTCTGTTTCTAAACCCAGCGTTAATATTTCCTTAATGGAGAGCATAGCATTTCGCGTAAATCATCGACTAAACATCGAAATTCCATGCCAAAACTCATTGTTTCTGATTTTCGTAAATTTGAGATATGTTACAGCACGTATAAAAATAAGTGACACGTATTTCACCATTTTTATTTTTTCACTATATGTTGAAAAAACAGGAATGTACAAAATTAAGTACCTCGGAGCAAAAAGAATTTTTATCAAAAGAAGAAATCAACATATTGAAACAATTTTTTTTAATAATTGCAATAAGTAGCTTTACTACGGACGTGATAATACATAAATTGTAAAAATTTGTTATTAAGAAATAATTTAAAAATATATTGTTTAAACAAAAAATATAACAATTATGCAGGTTTTTAAAATTTTCAAAAAATTTATGTAAAAACTTCCATATTTTTACTGTTTTCACATAAGTTTCAAAACGGACGTTTTAAAAATGACTGAAAAAAAATTTTTTTGAGAGCGCTGCATAATGCATGATCCTTAAAATCACCTGAAAGTAAGCGTTTCCTTGGAAATTAAATAGAAAAATTACCAAATACCGTCACTAATAAACTGTTCTAAAGAAAACCCATAATTTCCAATAACTTATTAACATTTATTTTTGAAAAAATATCAATAATAAATACAAATTCCTCGGTTGAAGGAAGAGTATATATTTATATACTATATTTTTTTATTCTATTTTCTGATAATAGAATAAAAGTATGTACACTCAGAAAAGTTGAAAATGACGTGTCCATAAACCGACCCTCATTATTTGGGTCCTCCTACCTAACCGCAGTTATAAACCATCTACGAGGAGAAAGTAATAAAAATGCTTTTGCATTTAGCCTCTACATTTCTTTTAAGTAAATGTTGTCAGGTGATATTATTTCATTAATGACAGTTATTATAATTAAACGTGTGTAAAGTGTGTTTTACTGAAACGAGAAAATTTGTAATTTTAAAACGTCATTATTCGGTCTCAGTGGAAAGAAAAATATTTTTTTTCTTGATTTTGAGATTTTTCTCTGCTTTTTAAGTCCCACCATAATGGCGGTTTTATTTTTTTGACAGAATTGTAACTTTGACAATTAATTAATTAATTATTATAATTGGTATTATCGACAAAACAATAACATTCTAAAAAGATTTGTTGCTCTCATTCATGAAAAATAATAATGAAAGTATGTTATGGGCTTCGCTCGACTAAAACGATCATTTAAAAAATCGCAAAGTCTTTCAACTTGACGATTAGATATACAGGGTGTGTCAAAAGTCCCGAACCAACGTGACATGCCATGTAAAGTAAGATATCAAGAGCGTGGAAAAATTGTAAAAAAATTTTGCACTTTGACTCTATTTGTTTTTGTTGGAAAAATAATTTTCCATGTTTTTTTTGCTACAGGCTATTAGAAGAGGAAACAAGGAAGCTGTATCTTAAATTGTAACTCTGTCTAATATTATTGGCAAAATTATTGTACCTTTATCAAATAATTATAAAAAAAAACATATACAAGATCATCAATGTCATTAAATAGACATAAAAAATGTCAAATTTCAAAAAATAAATGTAATTTTTTTTGACAGATTGAATTTTTTAACATTTTTTTATGTTCCTGGTATCTTACCTTACATGCCATGTCCCCTGTATAGCCAAACGTAATATGTGAAATTTGTGAAATATTTACTTAACCGAAGAATGTTTTTATTATTGATATTTTTTTGAAAAATAAATGTTAATAAGTTATTGGAAATTATGTGTTTTCTTTAGAACAATTTATTAGTGACGGTAATTGGTAATTTTTCTATTTAATTAATTAAATTAAATTAAATTAATTAAATTAACCCAACTTTCAGGCGATCTTAGGCGATCATGCACCATGTAAAGCTCTCAAAAAAAATTTTTTCAGCCATTTTTAAAGCGTCCGTCTTGATATTTATGTGAAGACATAGTAAAAATGTGATAGTTTTTACATAATTTTTTTGAGAATTTTAAAAACCAGCGTAATCGTTTATTTTTTGTTTAAGCAATATATTTTTAAATTATTTATTAATAACAAATTTTTAGAATACATGTATTATCACGTCTGTAATGTACCTATTTATAGGTATCTATTATTTAAAAAAAAAAAAATCTTTTTGTTCCGAGAAACTTGATTTTGTACATCCCTGTTTTTTCAACATACATTGAAAAAATAAAAAAACGGTGAAATACGTGTATTTTATCTCAAATTTACGAAAATCAGAAACAATGAGTTTTAAAAGTGATCGTTTTGGCATAGAATTACATCACACGTGTATTTTTCCACATTTGCGCCTTATTGAAGCACTAATCAAGCAACTAATGCAAATTGAGTTTTCAATTAAACGCTTTTTATTAATAGAATTTTCTCGTTGGATGCAAATGGTAAGATCATGATGTGTGGTCTCTGTAAATTACTTTCGCCTTGCACTCTACTTCAATCGGAATGAAAAACACATCAATTCTAATTGAAGGGGTTATTCTCCTCATCACGACCAAATAGTTCGTTTGAATCACGCTTTAAATTAAACCGTGATCAGTGTTAAATTTGCTGCCTTACCTGCTGGGCAATTCAGTTCGTCGGCTCGATTACTGCAGTCTGGTGTCCCATCGCAGCGTTTGTTCAAAGGAATGCACTTATTGTCGCATTTTATTTCGTCCTCTCGACAAACTGAAAAAAAAATTAATGTGCCAAAAAAAGTGTAATAATATTTTTTTAAAAACAATTCGTGAAAATATTTAAATTCAAGTTAAATGCTAAAACTGATTAGTCAACAAAATAAGAAATGAGAAAAGACATTTTAATTTTAGTCCAAGTTTTGTAAAGTTTAGGAAATCGTAGAAGGATATCGATGCGCAGAGACGAAAATTGGTCGCGGACGAATCCATTCGTAAATATAGGGGAGTTCTGAAATCAGCTGAGAGCAGTGGCGCGGCACTTATTTATTTCAACAAAACAAATAATCTATTTACAGGAATGAAAATATTTTGATTTTTTTAAGATTTTATTAATCTGGTGATTTTTTGGAAATGAAAAAAAAAACTGTTTTTCAACCAGAAATTTGATTATTGCAATGAAGTTTTTCCAAAATGTCCATTAAATTGGTTAAAAATAGTTCTGTTTGTTATTTATAAAATTTTACTAGATAGCATCGAAAATGGCAATTTATTTTTGTCTTTTTCGAACACTTTCAGATAGAAACACAATTATATCAGAAATTTCGTTAAAAACAGTCCTAAAATTCAACAAATTTGACCAAAAACGGCGTTATTTTTGCCCTTTTCAAGTGTTTAAGCACGTTTTTGAGACAAAAACAAAGAAAATTCTGAAAATTTCGTTGAAGTAAGCTAAAAATTTACAAAATTAAATCAAAATTGATATTACTTTTAGCTTGTTTCGCTCGACTTACTTCGTTTTTGAACCAGAGGTTCATTTATTTTGCAAAATCTTCTCCAAACACGCTTAGAAAACACAAAAACAATTAAAATTGATTTTATTTTGTTTGTTTTACTCGATTTAACTGTTTTTAAGCAAAATAAGACAAAAATATTTGTAAGCACGTTTTTTGCGAGATTTGGCTAAAACGAACTGAAAAATCAACATATTAATTGGAAGATTACATTAATTTTGCGTTTCTTGGAAGTTTTAGCATGTTTTTCAGCTAGAAACGCAATTATTTCGCAAAATTGGTAAAAAACAAGCCAATATACACAGAATTAGGCCGAAAATGATATAATTTTTTCTTTTTTCGAAAATTCAAGCATATTTTCAAGCTGAAAACTATTTCTGATTGTGAGAGTTTGCCACAGCGTGTCAAAAATCACTAAATTGTTGTAAAAAAAGATAATATGAAATTTTTACGTCACTTTCAACCTTTAACTTGATTATTTGTTCAAATTTTCTCGAAGAAAATAATCAAAACCCACCAAATTGGCTAAAAATAGTTCTATTTATTTTTTACAAGATATTACTAAACAGAATGCTTTTTCAGCTAGAAACAATTATTTTGCAAAATTTTGTCAAAATCAAGCCACAAATTCAACAAAATATCCCAAAAACAGCGTTTTTTGTCTTATTCAAGTATTTAAGGATGTTTTTGAGAGATAAAAACATGAAAGTTCGAAATATTCCATTGAAACAGGACAAAAAATTACAAAATTAAATCGAAATTGATATTATTTTTTGCTTGTTTCGCTCGACTTACTTCGTTTCTAAACCAGAGCTTCATTTATTTTGCAAAATCTTGTCCAAACACGCCTAAATATCACAAACAGGATTGATAGCGATGCTATTTAGTTTATTTCACTGGTTTTGAGCAAAAATAAGCTGAAAAACCGCAAAATTTGGTCACTAGATTTCATTAAAACATTAAATAATCAAGAAATGAAGTCTTGAATTACATAATTTTTGCATTTCTCGAGCGTTGTAGCACGTTTTTCAGCTACAAACACAATTATTTCGCAAAATTTTGTTGAAAACAAGCCCAAAAATGTCATGTCATTTCACTTTTTTTTCATAATTTTTACTCCGCCGTAGTACTTTTTTTGGGTCCAAAAAATCAAACAATTTTCGTCTCCTAGTATGTAGTTCTCTATAAAAAAAATGCAACTCTACAATTCCCTTTTTACCACGCCACTGCTCAAGTCGATATCCTTCTACGATTTCCTGACCTCTACAAACACTAACTTACCAATGCAGTCTCTTTCATCTGTGTCATCTTGACAGTCTTTCACACCATCACAGCGTTTGCTCTCAGGAATACATCTAGTTATGTCACAGCTAATTTCACCTTTGGCACAATCTGTGAACCAGAAAATACAACAATTAACTTCTTTACAAGTACATAAAATATTAAAACATTGCTATCCTACAAAGCAAATGAATTGAGTAAAATGCGTTAAATTTCTGCAATTGTACGAAAATGTATTAGTAAATACAGTTGGTTGAATTTTCTGAAATTAGGAACGGTCTTAAACGTCTTTATTGAATACAATATTCAAGAATCCATGTGTTAATCCCAGCACCACATGTAAGTTATTAATTTAGCTTTAAGGCTACCAGAGGGACAATTCTCTTCATCTCCTCCATCGGCGCAATCCTTGACTCCGTCACAGACTTGATCTGCACAAATCGATGGCGAACCATCTGAACATCGAACACTGTCATCAGCGCGACATTTCGATTCTGAAGATCGTCCTTCATCAGGAAGGCCGCTTCCAAGGTCAAGTTCATCTGATGGTGTCGTTGTTGAAGAAGTGTCGACGAGAACATCTGTTAATTAAATAACAAAAAAAAATAATAACAAACTTAAAATTACTTAAAAATAATGAATGTAATCTAACAATATGCACAGGGTGCTGCATTTTGGATGTCCGAATAGGGAATCTCCGAAACTAAGAGGTTTAGCCAAAAACAAGTAATACATTCTGGGGCTCATTTTTTGAGAAACTAATATTGGTTAAAACCGCATCCCGATATCGTCTTTTGTTTTCGACTTATAGACAAAAATTGACATTTTAGCGAAATCTAAAAAAAATCATATCTTCGTTATTATAGAAGACACAGATTTGAAATAAAGACATTATACAGGCACTTTTTTCGTAGAATTTAATAATATAGTTAACAATTTTTTTCAGTTGTTTGTTTGGCCGTAATAAAATAAACTTGTATTTTTTTAAATGGGAATCATAGATGGCTTTGTCATTTTTAAAAAGCTTGTTTTTTTCTTATCTAAAAAATATATATTTGTAACAAATTATTATAATACATTTTTAGCAAAAATTATCTTTGATTTTTGTTCGCAGTTGGCCATGAAAAAATGTTGCATCTTCAACTAAAAGGATTTAAACTATATTATATTCAACCAGTGTCACTAATAAAAGAGTTTTCTAAGTACTAAGTAATGAAAAAGATGCAAAATAAATTGTAAATCAACTTATTGGCGACTAATAACATTTCTTTGTTTTTAAACAAGCTAACATTTTACCATTGCAACTTCTAGTAATACATAGAGTGTTGTAAAAAAAAGCCGCTTTAAATCTTCAATAAAATGTATTTTAGATGACATAAAAATGACGATATGGCTATTCAAATACCCAAATTCCGTCTATGTGAAACGTTATCCTACCTCCATTAGATCATCAAAAAAAAATGTTTTTTCTAATTGTGTTGACTGTTGACACATTTGTTTTTCCTATTTTTGGATTTTTTAAAAATATGTAATAATTTTGTTCTGAGGCGCTCGGATATTTGTTCAATGCTTCTACCGTATCGTATTTTTTAAATCTTTATAATTTTATCTATTTTTTCATCTATTTTACAGTTCACAAAACTCTTATTGATTATTATTTACACATTTGGAGTGAAATAGTTTTTCCATGGCCAACTATTATCACACAAAATATGTATTTCACTTTTTAAGTATAGTTATAAAAAAATATTTTGTTACAAATATATATTTTTTAGATCAGAAAAAAATAAGCTTTTCATAATTGCCATAGCCGCCTATGATTTCGATTTTATTATTCGAGTTTATTATTATTAAAAGTCCTAATTTACAAGTAATCCTAATGGAAATTAATTTATGAGTTTTAAAGAAAGTTACTGTTAGTGTTGTTCTTCTAATTTAGAGTCTATGATACTAAAGGTATTTTTAAAATTTATGAACTAAATAAAACACGAAATTAAGTGTTCTATTCCTACATAATATCTATTTTAATGATGTATTCAGCGCTTACCTATTTAAGATACAACTTCAGACAGACACTTGAAGCTAAAATTGCTTTTGATATATAGATTGATGCATAAACAGTTGTGAAAGCTGTCTGTAGCAATATAATTATAGTGTGTGTTCGAAAATCAATAATCATGTTAAATACTTAAAGCCGATTCACAAAATTTTAATTCAGATTTAGACGCTATTTATGTACTTTAATAACCGGCTTGTTAGTTACAAACGAGCATTTTTACCTCAAGTTCAGTAAAAATAAAGAAGCTTAAAATGCTTAATTAACATGTTTAGAAAGCTATAAAGGACGATTTGTTAATTTTATAATAGTGAAAACCCTCCACCACAAGTACAAAGTTGGTAGTCCGCACACGAGAAATATTTTATTATTTTCCAAATATTTGTTCCAAGTTTTTGTGAATATTTACTTGGTTTTATAAATTTCCCAAATCTACTCCAATTATTTATATTGATAAATAGATCTGAGAATGCTTTAAAATAGCGTTATTAATTATTAATAGCGTTAGTTAAAGAGAGTCAAAAGAAAAATATTTCGCTATTTTAAAGCATTCTCAGATCTATTTATCAATATAAATAATTGGAGTAGATTTGGGAAATTTATAAAACCAAGTAAATATTCACAAAAACTTGGAACAAATATTTTATTTTATAATTAAAATGCATTTCTATTTTAAAACTTTGGTAAAAAAGCCTAGAATTTCTCAAAGTAACATAATTTAAAATTATTAAATTGTAAAATATAGCGTGGAATATGTTTGATGTTCTTTAATTTTCATTATTTACTACCACTAAATTCACGATTCTTAATTGAATTGTTTAATTCTTTTATTTGATTAGAAAGAATATAGCATTGAACTTATAAAAAAATGTCAATTTCACATCATGAGCGTAAAGATAACCAATTTTCTCATTCGTTGAATACATAAATAAAAATACAAGGTGTTTATAAAAGACAGCATATCAATAGCGTTGAGAAAATATGATGAAGGTATGTTTTAAATAGTAATATCAAACCTGTCAAATTTTCCAATTCTTAAGCCCCTCTCTTGTGTTAAATATAGATTAAAATCAATTTTTTCTACAAAAAAAGCTAAAAGTGAGCTTTGTACATAAAACCTATTACAATGTTCTACGTACTCCCTGTAGTATTTCACAAATGTTCTAAAATTTCATTAAACATAATAATCTATGTGAGACATACGTTCATATAATTTTTACAATACTCTTGACATTCGATCCTTTAAAACAACACTCTGTATGATACTTAATTCAATTTTACTAATTATGAAACAGTGATTTTAAGATAAGTTGTATTATTTATCTGTTGTATAAACTGATATACAAAGATTACTATACACCACATATTAAAATAATACATAGAATACAATAGTATAACATTATAGCCAGATAAAGCCTGCACTATGCCGATCAAAAAAATGAGACATCAAATTTTTTGCATTTTCTCAAAATTCACTGTAAAGCAGACTAACCTCCAAAACGTTGAAATGCCAGGAAACATTACCAAACATCACTGCCAAGTACTGTCTCATTTTTTTGACCGGCATAGTACATATTAAGCACTTCACATGTTAGTCAGTGGACACCGTATTTACAATTGTTACTTACTAAAAATATTTTCCTCACTAAAATGATTTCCTCACAAATCTTAGTACAAACTAAAGTTAGTAAGTAAAAAGTTTAAGAACAAATCTATAAATTATTACAGTAGTTAAAACAGTTATTAAATAGTTATTACAAGGCACTAAAGTTTATTTTTTATCACGATTGAGAGAATTAATCTAAAAAATTGTTATTTATCGTACAAGACGATAAAGAAATTGTTTATCTACGAATGAAATAGTTAAGTTTACGAGTGGACTTTTTCACGAGCTTAAACAATCTTTATCGTCGTGTATAATATTTCGTTTTATTTTGTACTCACCTACCAGAATTTCTTGAATATAAACACTAGATAAAAAGTATTTTATTTCACTAGACGAAAAAAGACTAAGGTAACTTAGCCAAATAAGGCCCACTTACGATGTTTTATATATTTTTTTAAATATGCAAAGGTTTGGATTTATTATCGAAATTGTGATTTGAACTTTTGTGTAACAATGTGTAATACAAAAATGCCTGTTTTGTTGATTTTCTACATGTTTTTAACATAAATATAAAATATTACAAAGGGCCTTTTTTGGAACCTCCTAGCCCCAAATAAGGCCTATCGACATTAGATAAGGCCCCTATTTAAAATTTGAGATAGGATTTTTCATTAATCATCTTAACAGTAAGTTAAGGAAAAATCTTTAATAAACAAACAAAAAACAACATAAAAAATACAAAAAAGTAAAGAAACTTCAAACCATGTATTAATATGTAACTAGAAATAATTAATTTTAACATCCAATACGATGACGCATCAGTTTAGAACATATTTCCTTATTTAGCTTAGGTACCTTACTTTATCTATTGAAACTAGTTGATAAAAGCACTCTTTAACATTGAGTACAAAATAATAGTAATTTAGTGCTAAGAAGTACATTATGTTTTGTTTTTTTTTTCTGAAATCGCATTATTTTAAATTATGTTTTCGATTAGATAATAGAAATTTGAAATATTACACAATCAGCATTATCATTATTAGAGATGTGCAACATATGAGTCGGGAAAAGTGCTTTTTACGGACTATTTCGTTCGATTTCAGAAAAAAAATAGGCTAAGCTAGGTACAGAAAATTTACATTTAGATAAAAGTTAAACACAGTTTTGCTGAAATATTAAAAAGCCGTTGAATAAACACACAACTTACGAACCACCACCAAATAAATATATTGGGAAATTAAAAATAAATAAAAACAAATAAACAAAAACAAAATAAATAAACGTACCACATCCAGCCTCATCTGACTGATCTGCGCATTCATAAATTCCATTGCAGCGTGCCTCAGAAGGAACGCATTCCCCAGAATGGCAAGGTATTTGATTCACACCACACATAACATTTGTTGAAGCTAACAAAATCAAAATTAAAAAACAAACACACACAAACGCAAGAAAACCAAACAAAAAAATCAAAAACCCAACGAAATACCTTCAAAAACTCTAAAGTGGAAGTCCTCGGGTAAAACGGTTGTCCCACCCAATCTGTGGTTGCTTTTTATGTGGTTGTAGAGAACATCTCTTATGACTTTGTCGTTATTGTAACCATCACTTCCCAGATCGATTGTTACTTTTGACGTAAAAGCATCAGCTTCACGTTTCCTAAAAACAATTAGTTTAGTGGAATTTTACTAAAATTCCAAATCTTACTCTATTTTAATAACTGTAGCCGATTGTGTCCCGGGAATATTTTGGTATAAACTATCGATTTCCCTTATAAGATCTTCACTAAAATCGCGATATTTGAAACTATTTCGGTCGCTGAAGGAGTCCACGTATGGTTCGCTAGCGGTGAATGAAATGCGGTAATATACAGGGTGGTGTGAAACTGGGATGTGGGGTACAGATGAGCCGTCTGTGCTTCCCTCCCCGGATGTAATAAGATTATCTTCATCATCGTATCCAAATCTGAAGAAAGAAAAAAGGAGATTCATGAAAAATTAAACTAAAACACCCTGTATACAATCAAGCATTGCTAAGTAACGTAATATATAATATAGCAAGTTTGGGAATTGAACACCAGTGCCCTGGTTAACACTGAGAGTGGCATGTGTATTGTTGGTTGCCTATAACAAAACATATTGTGTGTGTAAATCAAACCAATGATTGGCTTTAAAAATAAACAATTTTGCGTCAAATATTTTCAAATCGTATAAAATTATCATTAACTAAATAAATATCAAGTAATAAAACGTGTAATTGTAGAAATTAGCTCAGCTACAATTGTAATTTTCATCTTAAAAATTCAATTAAAAACTCTTTCAACAACATTAAACAACCGTAAATTTTAAAAATTCCGAAAATTTTTCTTACATTTCTAGTCCAGCAGCTCATTGTGTATTTTAAAAGACAAAAAATGCTTCGAAATCAGTTCAAAATTCCGCTTTTACACATCAGAATTAAAAATTGGGATTAGGTTCAAATAACATTTTCAAAAATAAAAATGAAATCCAACTAAAATTGTTGACGGCTTTAAAACGTTTCATAAAATGTTCGGAAGTTTATTTACTTCAGCTTTATTTATTTAAATCACAGTTAACGCTGAAAGGTAATTATGTCATTACAAGTGTGAAAATAAAACTCTTTATTTACGTTTTTTAGATTTAAAATATATACCCATAATACATTTTTAAATTTTTTAACATTAATTTTAATTAGATTATTATAACTAACCTTCACCCGTTTCCGAAGTATATATTTGTCATAAATGGACTTTAAACAAAATAA